TTATTAATAAGCCTCGCCGGTACACGATATAGGTTAATGCATTGACATATGCATGAACACGCGAAATGTCTCACTCCTGATTCAGCTCATGCTCCATAGGAGAAAGGCGATTCCTCTTCTTCTCGTACAACCATATCAGAACAGAAGCCCGTGTCACCCAGCTCTAATTCAAGAGCGACTCCCATCTTCAGCCCTTTTTTTTGTTCGTGATCATTAATTTCTTTAGATATGATCAATATTGAACTTTTTTAAAATAAAAATAATCAAACATGCAGGTAGGTTTTTGAAAAGTATTAGGAGTTGACAGGGCGCCCATTTGGAATAGTTGTCAGAAAATGTGAGAAAAGGAAAGTTACATAAACTCTCACACACAGCATTAGAGATTGAAATCTGATTGTAAAAACACTACCTGTCTCCCCCTCGGTAATCAAACCCCAGTTTCCTGCGTGACAGGCAGGGATACACACCATGACACTAACTAGGAGCGCTTGCTAGCTGTTAGGAGGCATTTACTCTTATGGCTACTACTTTTCGGGTTTTGACTTTTATTTTAATTCCTTCCAGAGGAGTGCATGAAAACGAGTTTCCATCTGCGCCATCCTCACTCCTGCTCTGCTATTGTCACAGCTCCTCCTTGTGCACAACCAACACCCATGGAGTCGGTTCTTTCAGCTTTACTAATTAGGTTTTTAAAGGCTGGAAGTAGGGCACAAGACACACGAATGCTAAAAGCATCCTTATCTGTTTTCAGCTGTGAAATGTCATTCGTGGACGCTGAAGAATGTGTTTCCAAGGCAGCGGTTTCAAGCAATTTTGCATTTTAAAAGTATAGCAGTGCGTTTCCATTTTTATGCAGGCACACGATGACATAAGGAGATTGTCGTAGTCGGCAGGACTTGAACCTGCGCGGGGAGACCCCGATGGACTTCAAGTCTATTGCCTTAACCACAAAAACACAGCAGAACTCGTCAAACCAATTGAAGTCCGATTAAACCACTCCACCAACCTGTCGTTCTGGGGATGCAGTGGGGTGGTCCGCGAGATCCCCAGGCGCTGGCACACTCTGGCGAAGACCTGGGATTCGAAGTTACGCCCCTGGTCACTGTGTAACTCCTCCGGCACCCCTAGCCTGGAAAACATCCTGCAGGATTCCTGCAGGACCTCTATCCATCGCACAATCTGCCCCTCTGGCTCCTTACAGTGGAGCAGCCAGGTGAGGGACGCATGGTCGGTCCTCAACCGGAACAGGGTCCTGAACAGGTACGGCCTGAAGTGGTGGACCGCCGCCATCACCGCCAGCAGCTCATGACGGGTCACGCAGTAGTTCTGTTCAGCCCTAGTCAAAGCCCGACTGTAGTAGGCAACTACACGCTCCTCATCTGGCCCCTCCTGAGCCAACACCGCGCCCACCCCCGAGTCACTCGCGTCGGTATCCAGGATATACGGTAACCACGGATCGGGGTAGGCTAGCACAGGGGCCCCCACCAGAGCTACACGTAACCGGCTGAAAGCCGTCTCGCAGCCCGAGTCCAAGTCGAAACGGCGGCCCTTGTCGGTGAGGCGGTGCAGCGGGGGAGCGATGCTGGCAAAGTCCCGGACAAACCCCAGAAAGCTGCACAGCTCCGCGACAGTGCGGGGGGTCGGCCAACCACTCATTGAGGCGACCTTACCTGGGTCTGTAGCCACCCCTCACAGTCCAACAACATGTCCCAGGAAGGTCACCTCCTGCCTCAGGAGCTCGCACTTGCAGGGATTGAGCCTCAGGCCAGCACGGCGGATGCAGGCCAGCACCGCCTGGAGGTTTGTCAAGGCCTTGTCAAAACCCTGGGCATGAACCAGCAGATCGTCCAGATACAGCACACACTGGTTCCACAGGACCGATGCCAGCACCCTCTCCATCAGCCTCTTGAAAGTCGCCGGGGCATTGCACAGGCCAAAGGCAGTAAACTGCCAGAGGCTTCGAGCGAGCGGTACCTGCCAGTAGCCACAGCGGAGGTCAAGGGAGTTGAACCAGGTCGACCCGGTGATGTAGTCCTTGGCATCGTCTATCCTCATCAGGGGGTAGGAATCCTTCCAGGTGACCTCGTTCAGCTTGCGGTAGTTTACGCAGAACCTCCACGAGCCTTCTTTTTTTTGGACCAGTACAGCTGGCACAGAGGGCTCAATCACTCCCGCTGCGGCCATCTCCCGGATCTTTTCCTCGGCGGCAGTCCGCTTGGTGTGAGCCATACGTCCAGGTGGGATGCGGATGGGCAGAGCGTCACCAGTCTCGATGTCGTGTTGGTAGAGTTCCTCAACGGCGCGCCTCCCTTTCTCGCAACCGCCGCCGCCTTGTCTGGCCTCCCGGCCGACTCAGGAGCAGGATCTGGCACGCTCGCTCCCCAGCTCACAGGCCCGGTCTGCCGCCACCGCCACTGCCTCTTTTTCCCCCGGCTCCAGCGTCCCTCGGCTTTCGCCGGGCCTGCCCTCCACCAGGTGAAGTCGCTCCCCCTGCCACACCAACTCCTGCCGGCTCAAGTCCAAACTGGCCCCCACTCGCTGCAGTAGGTCCAGCCCCAGAATGCAGTCCTCCTGGATGGGTGCGAGGTAGCAGGGGTGGCGCACCATCGCTGCACCTAGACGGAAGGCAAGCACCTGTTTCCCCCGGACTGCGGCAAGCTGTCCCGTCACGGTCCTTAGCCGCAGGCCGGAGGCCTCCCATCCTGGGGGGGGTGGTGCCATCGGTGTCGGGGAGGATGCCAGGCCGGAGTAGGGTTACCAATGAACCGGTGTCGAGCAGGGCCAGGCAGGGTTGGTCCTCGATTCGGCAGTGGAGGTACAGGCCCCGGCTACAGCCAACTCGCCCCACGGTGGCGTGAGGGGCGCCGGTCTTCACAGTGCTCTCCGGAGCTGGGGTTGAGATCTTCCAAGGGCGGCCATCCCCGCGCTGAGCCGCCCCGTTCCCGTTTCCTGATACCGATCTAAGTGTGCGAGGCTTTAGGGCCCGGCAGTCCCGGGCTCGGTGTCCCCTCTTTCCACAGCGTTGGCAAAACCAAAACCAGCACCCAGCCACCCCAAACACGGCCTCAGCCCATGTAGCAAGGGCCAAGGCCTGCCCCAGCGAGGCCGGCGCGGCCAGCTGTACGTGGCGCTGCAGCTCCTCAGGTGAGCCATCTCCCGCTGCACCTCCTGGAGGAAAGCTGGGTATCCTCGGCGGGCGAGGAACATGACATCAGAGGCGACCAAGCCCAGTCGCTCTCCTGGTCGGCGCCGCCGCAGGGCCAGTCTCTCTTGCATCAGGTCCGGCGCCTCCTCCACGCTGAAGAGAAGCCGGAGAGCTGCTGCCAGTGCAGCATATTCTCCTCGGTCCTCCTCCGGGACATCCAGGAGCACCTGGCAGGCTGCTCCTTCCAGCACCACAGCCAAGTGGCTGGCTACCTCCGCCCGGTTCCAGCCATTTGTTCGGGCCGCGAGCTGGAACTGCCTTAGGTTTAATAAGGCGCTTCCCAGTCGTAGAGACCGATGAGTGTGGGTATTGCTGGATGGCTGCGGCTTGAGGATATCTTCTCTCAGGGGTATCCGCTGGCCAGTTGCCCCAATTCTACCGGCAGAACCACTACTGAGTAGCCCTGGTAAGGGCTGTGGCCACCTGTCGCACCCAGGAGTTGCTCAGGCTCCATATGTGCGCTGCCGGTGGGTTCGGTCTCTTTTAGAGTCAGCCAGCGCTTGACAGAATCGGTTAATGTCTGCCACGGTTTGTCCATCCTGCCCGCTTCTGACACCAATGTAGCGTTTACAGGTTCTTTTCAGGACAAAGGACCAATGGAGACGAGATAAATGAACCAAGCGATAGCTTTATTCTTTATCAACCACACAAAACCAAACACAGAATATACACACACATGAGGAGACTGACGGAGCACGTAAACATCTTTAGGGTGGTAATTACTTAACAACAAGCTATACACTTATAAGACTACACAGGACACTAGAACTACTATAACACTATTTACATATGCAGGGTCAGCTGCTGGTCATCGAGCTGACCCTCAGACTCTCCCCGGCTACAACTCCCAGCCTGCCCAGCAGTACTATGAGTGTCTAGGGGCACTTCCTCTTCACCACCGGGCGAGGGTGTTACAATTCGTATATTTGATGAATCACTGCCCCTTGGCGTTGCTTTCCAGACACCACAACTATTCACAATGAATCTAATGAATACACATCTTTATGAATAATAGTATTATTTATTAATAATTAACTTTAACGTATATCTTTATTAGTAGCTCTATTACAGGTAATGCATGTACAGCCTTTAATATGTGATAGTGAATTTGCAGGTATCCTGGGGAGGGAAGAGAACTGAAATTAAGGAAATACATATTTTAAGGGGGTGTAAGTCTTACATCCGTTCTGTCTCATCTGGGTGTTAACTGAATAGATTTGTGGTATTATTTATTGTGTTTGAACTCTATACTTGTGTTTCTCAGGAGACAGCAGAAATATTGGCGATCTGTGGCTACAGAAAATAATGTGAACTTTATAGGCAAATGTAAGGTTACGTTAAAGAAAAAAAACGTATTGTCACCTTTATCAACGTGATTATTTAAGACAGTTGTTCAGAACAGTATCTCTTCTCATATCTGTGGCTGTTGTCCTACAATAATGGTGGTGAAACAGGCAGAATGTGTGGAAAGAACTGGAGACTCATCCAGTCAATAGTAAGGTTGTGTAGGACCGCACGCACTAGGTGACAGTGTTGAGTAGCGTGGTTTAAAAGCTTCACGAGCCAGGCAGGAATCAAACCTGCAATCTTCTGATCCAAAATCAGATGCGTTATCCATTGCGCCACTGGCCCTACTAGCTCCTTACTCAACTGCACTACAGTGAGCACAGAGCCGCTACTAGTAAAGCATCGCCCCGGTCCACATGTTCTCAATTAGATTCATGTGTTTTTTACATGTGTCTAATTACTACGTCTTTCGTTTTGTCTGGTTTTAAAAAAAATGTCTCTTTAAATCAGACAAAGGCTTTATGTGTCTCCCTGAAATTCACACACGAGGGAAGTCACACGAGGAAGGAAAAATATCGCGTTTAAAAAGAATCCAGAGTGGAGACGCCTGCTATTGAAAACGAAGCTTCATAGAGTATGTGCGTGCTACCACTGAACTAAACTCCCGGTACCGACTTTTTTCCACAGGTCTTTAATTGTGTTAGGAAGAGTGAACAGTCAACAGTGCACATTTTAAAGGTCAAAGCAAGACAATCAGATGTGAGGATAGATCAGAACAGGAGCCTCTGCTTCTCTGTTTGCTGAGCTTTCGGTGAACGTAAAAAACGTGAAAGACAAATTTGATATTTTCACATTTTAATTAAGGAACAAGAAAACACCATCCTTCGAGCCGGATTCAAAACAGCGACATAACAATTGCCCGCTGCTTTTTTAAACAGTTTTACACTCTAGCAACTGAGCTATGGAAAGGTCAACTCAAAACACCCACGTTTTGTCATACGCGTAGCCCAATGTAGTGTAGTGTTTCTGTCTATTTAAATCCCAGTTCGACATCAAATATTCACTCCCATAGTTTCTTTTAGTAGAAGAAATAGACCAGGATTCTACTGTATATTCTACCAGAGATCTTACAAAACGTTTGAAGGGATATCAGTGCAGGCAGAAATTGACTCTTTTTCTAGTGGGATCAGGATCATACAAAATCTTTCTTTTGGATTGAGAAGAGGATCATGGTGACACTCAAAACATCCCTGCCTTTGCTTCTTTCGAGGACTAATGGATTATTGAGGTGCAAACATCGGTTCAAATCAAAACTCCGCTACTGCAGTTGCTTCTTGGAGAGTTTCTTCAAATCTTTCAACTGAACGTCGATATCTTGGGATATTAACCATGATATCATACAGAGTGTGGTTTTCTTTTGATCGAAAATTGTATTAAAATATGAGCCTCTTTTACCTTTGTCTTGGATGTTTTGCAAGGTATAATACTTTCCCGTGCATCCTCAGATAAACATTATAAATACCACAAAGTTACAATATATGGAATAGCATTTATTTTTACATATATTTTAAGATTTACTCTTATTTTAAGCTACATTTAGCGCTAGGTAAAGATAACGTTGCTTATACTGATGTAGTAGAAATGTAAGATGAATTGATAGCTGTATCTGAGCTAAAAAAGTCCTAAAACGCCTCCTGTAACAGGTAAGGACTCATAGCAAGATTCAACTCCAAACGTTGCTATTGCATTGCGCATTATGTAAACACGACCTGTTTCAGCTTCTGGTGAGTGCAGTTTTTCCAAATTGAAATTAACAAGAACATTTTTCAAGATGCACCATGTCCCTAAATTGATCATCAGGACTACTATTACTATCAGGTAAAAGCAGTACAAAACATAAATATAACCTAAATATTAAGAGACTATTGTCTGTCCCCTACTGCTGTAAGCCATGTTCGGCCAACGCTAGAAATATTACTGCTCTACTACAGTAGCAAAAGTGCACAAACCTGACTTAGAAATGGATCACAAGTCAAAAGCTCTAGACGATAAGGATAGGATTCGAACCGACGTGTGCAGAACACAATGGACAAGCAGTCCATCACCTTAACCAATTGGCCACCTCGTCAAGAAAGCCAGTCTCTTCAGACATGCGTTGGCGCGCTCAAGATCATCTTTCTTCATTCTTGATAGTCATTTTCCTCTTCCACCTGCCATTTCACTATTTTGCTTGAGTGATGTCAATCCAACAGGCTTGTCCTGTGCTTCAGTGGCGAGTATAGAGGACACACTGTTGTACACGGAAAGCACATTGATCTCTTTGGATATGAAGTGCCAGATAAAAGCTATTTCTCATCCTCTCTCTTAGTATCGGGGCTGCTAGTGCATGAAAAGGAGGCAACTTGCTCGGCGAGCAGGCTCAGCGCACACCGAACGCAGATGTCTCAGAGCGGTGTGTCTAAGTGGCTGTAAGAATAGCGCTCTGCCGGCGCCGTGGTTTAGCTGGTTAAAGCACCTGTTTAATAAAGAGGAAGTCCTGCGTTCAAATTCTAGTGGTACCTTCCTTCCTGTCTTGTTTTACAGAACAGATCATTTGGGACACTCACAGAGGGCTTGATTTGGTTTAATGCATGTATTAATTTCCTTTGTGGAACTTTTTTAAATCATCCCAGTGGACAAAAGACGTATAATATACGTCTATTAAATGCATACCTTAGACGTCTAAATGTGGTCTGCAATTCGTCTAGAATGAAATTCTAATATACGTCTAAAGTTATACGTCAATTATACGTCTATGTTTAGACGTTCATTATACATAAATGGTTGGAGTTCTATTATACGGATAAATTTAGAGGACTATTATACATATATGGGTAGAGGTCTATTATACATCAAAGATAGGTTTTACAGGTGTAGAAACAAGTAAACCAAGCCAATGATTAGGTTTAGAAATTTATTCTGAAAATACACATTCACACCTGAAACATACAGTATGTATT